CCTCCTCCTCAGGTCTGCAATCAGAAGCCCCCTAGCCAGTGGCCATCCACAGAGTTGGTCCTGCCCATTGTAAGTGAAATCGCAATCCCATTCGGCCATCACCGAGACTCACACCTCCCTTCTCCTGCTTTGCTGTTATCAAGTGCACTTTTGTCTATACTCCTTCTGTTCATTTTATTGTTTTTCATCACCACCAAAACTCCCAGGGAGGCAGGTATTTTGGCTCCCAGACCATAGCACTATTTCACCACATACAAACAATCCCTAAAAGAGGCATGACCTTGGATTATACTAAATATATGTTCGTTTGTTTTTTTTTTCCAGAGGCATTTCCTATTTCATGTGAACAAAGATTCTAGCAGCTCAAATCATTTGGGATTGTGTCACAGGCTTTCCTCCAAAATGGCCAACCATCTAGCTACTGATTTAGTAATTTTTTTTTTTTTTATTCTCACATCCAGGACCTCCATGTATGCTAGACAAGCACTCTACTACTGAACTACAGCTCAGACCCGATTTGGTCAATTTCTCGTCCAAAGCTTGCTCAATGTGCCTAATTTGGCTGTGGATTGGACGGTGCGGGTGTTTTCCCGAATGTATGCATGTATGTATGTGTATGTATGTATGTGTAGCTGAGTTTGACTCAATGGCTTTCACTGTAAATTGATAGAGGGCTAAGAACCCCAGCACTTTCACTTAACCTTTCTGGCTGACACACTCATAATGGTTAATTAAAAACTAAGGATTGCTAGCTGGATACAAACCTGTGAGTCAACACTGGAGAGCTGGAGGCAGGAGAGTTCAGCCTCAGCTATGTGAGACCTTATTTACAAAACTAAGCAAAAACAAAACAAAGCCCCAAATGATTCATGGTGCATGGAGAGTTGGTCATATAATCCCATCATTTGGAGCTGGAAGCAGGAAAATTGGGAGTTCAAAAATAGTCTTAGTTACATGAGAATCTGTCTTCAAAATATCAATCAATAAATTAACCAAACACACACACACACACACACACACACACACACACACACACACACACACACACCACA